TGCTCCTTGGAGGCCAAGATGGCTAAACTTCGTCTCTCATACTTTGGACATATTGTCAGGAGGGAACAGTCGCTGGAGAAGGATGTCATGCTGAGTACGATGGAGGGTCAGAGAAAAAGAGGAAGACCCCCAACGAGATGGGTTGGCCAGGTGGCATCATTGATGGCATCAAGTGTGGCAGCGGTAGTGAGGTTGGCCCAGGATCGGACATTGTTTCTTTCTGCTGTGCTCGATGGCTCCTGACAACAACAATGAGCCGGGACCGACTTCGTGGCACATAACCACCACCACCACCACCACTCTTTTTTAGCTTTGAAAATTCTGTGGTTTGTTCTGAGCAATTTGACAATTTCCACACCTTAATTGCCATTGCCTAGGATGTGACAGGTACACAATAAATTTTCATCCTCATGTTGCACTGTAGGGTACTCTTTTAAGAAGACATTTCAGGTGAAAATTAGGGACCCTAATGGGAGTTGCAGTTCATCAGTGTGAACAATGTGGAAAATAACTGAAGTGACAATTAAATGAATGGATATCTTATACTCATAGCTAAGTTCCCATATATAAAGGCTATGTCACCTAAGGCTCAGTTTAGTCCTCTGCCTGGTGCCTAGGGTGACTAGTACAATTTTTTGATGTGCATTATAAGATCTATCCTAATTTCAGAGACAATAATGTGAAAAAGTCTTACAATCAATGAAATATGGTGATAAACTGTTTAGGAAAGGCACTGAGGAAGGTAGAATCTCCACTGAGTCGTATCTAATCTGTCTAGGCGGGGCTGATGAAAGGAAATGCGGCTAGGTCTCTTGTGATACAATAGTGAATAATTCTTGTCAGGACTGATTGTGAGGGTTGGAAATGTAAAGGTAGACGTTTTGTAGCAAGGAGGGGCGTGATTAACTTTTCAGTCTAGGAGCAGAGGTCCCTGGGACCATCAAGGGAGAAGAGCAGAGAGCAGGACCCTACCCAGAGAAGCAGTGACGCCAGAGATGGAGGCAGAGGTGATGACGTGGAGAGATGTAGAAGCTGGGGACTTTAAAGACAGAGAGGGAGAGGGGCTGTGTGCTGATGACCAGGGGGCAGGCTTTCAGGGTATACCCTTTGGTTGGTTGATGATGCATGGAGGGGATTGTGACCATGGCAATGAAACAATATACGATAGGATGAATCTAAAACTAATGTTCTCCCCTGTAAACTATCACATAATTCACAATAAAACATTAAAAAAAAACTGTTTAGGAAAAAATGAGATCCTCCAAGTTAATTGGCTAGGCTTTTCTTCTGGTGTTGCATGCAATCATTATAATAATAATTTTTTAAACTATTGAGATACATAACTTGAAAGTCCATGTGTATTGTATAAGTAGGCTTTTTTATTATTATTATTTCTTTAATATGGTGGTAAAATAATCAGTGTCCTGTTCTCCACAGAACTACTTTCTACTTTCTTCTTCAATGGATAAAACAGTCAGGTTGTGGCACATTTCCAGGAGAGAATGTCTTTGCTGTTTTCAACATATAGATTTTGTCACTGCCATCGCTTTTCATCCAAGAGTAAGTAACCACTTCTACCATTTATTGTTGCTCTTACACCATCAGAAGGTGAGGGAACCTGGCTTCCCTACAAAATACTAAACTCCAGAAAACAAAAAACAACCATAGAGTTGGAAGCGACTTAATTTAGTGTTTCTTTTTGCTATAAAAATTAAGAAAGAAAATCATTATTTTACTAATTTGAATCAGAACTGGGAGTGTGACGTTCTAAATATAACAAAAAGTTATTCAAAATATTTTTAGAGATATGAAGGGTAAAAGTAGGTCATAAAGTATCCTAGTAAAAGTCAGAGATTGGAGATGATGGAAGAAGAGACAGCAGTAGGTGTATAAATGAGAAAAGGAAGTACTTGGGTGGGAAAACTGGAAGGGTTGAGCAGGACAGAGACAAAGAGGATACAATTAAAAATAGTTACGGACCAAAATTCATTAAAAGAGATACTTACTTCCTATCAAATGTCAAAGCATTGTTAATCTGTATATCATTTCTTAATCATTTTCAATGTCTGGATTCATCTTTTACCACTGTAAGTACAGGAGAATTCACATGGGACTCCGGAGCTGGATTAAAATAAGTGGAGGATTTGCATCCTTACAATGACGTATAATTGCATTTCCAACCATGTCATTTGTATATGTTTAACTCCCATTCTTTCATATATATATAAAACAACACATTGTTATGTGAGCCATTTTTAACTGTACAATTCAATGACATTAATTACATTCCCCATGTTGTCTGATCATAATTTCCATCTGTTTTCAAAATTTTTCCTTCACTTAAGTGATAAATCCTCATCTTCCCTTCTCCCAGCCCCTGATAACCACTGATAAACTTTGGTCTCTCTGCACTCGTTTATTCTAGATACGTCATATAATATTCCAGATGCCATCATATAACGTTTTTCCTTTTATATCTGATTTATTTAAAGAATGATGTCAAACAGAGTAAAGATTGTGCCTCTTGTTTGCATCCCATTTACTTAATCTTCACTTCTTATACTGCCAAAGATTAGATCAGCTTAGTAATAGGATTGGTTTTGTGTAGAACGGGATTTCTCAACACTGGCATTATGGACATTTGGACCAGGTAATTCTTTGTTGAGGGTAGAGGGGAACAGACTGTTTTATCTATTTTGTAGTGTGTTTTTCAGCATCCAGAAGCACCACCCTCCACACAGTTATGAAAATCAAAAATGTCTCCAGACATTGCCAGATGCCCCTTTAGGGCCAAATTCTTCCTATTTGAAAATCCCTGGTTCCAAGTCAAGATGAGCATTTCAATAGTGAAGTACTTCTTTGCTGATGTGTTGTCATAGTTACAAATAATGGCTGGTCCTATGGAGTCTTGATGTGGCTCTTTACGATAAGCATTGAACTGCTAACCACAAGGTTGGTGATTCAGACTCAACCAGCTGCTTCGCAGAAACCCTATACAGGGTTGCTATGAGCGGAACTGATTTGATGGCACTTAGCAACAACCGGCCAGTAACTGATGTTTCTGTTTTATTCAGACACATCTATTGACATCCATACACATAAAAGGTAGCTTAAGAATATGATAAAGTGATGAGGACATCATTTCTTCCAGCTGAATACTGAGAATTGTAACTGTTGCTACTGTTTTTAGTGAATAAAATCTTTGCTTGCAGACTACTTTAATGAGAGTACTTTAAAAATGTAATCTACTTGTTTTAAATGCTATTTCCAGTATACATAATGTTTTGATTTGCTAATGAGTTTTTCTTGATGTGGTAGAATGAAAGTTTTCCCATTTACCATCTTCTTAGGATGACAGGTATTTTCTGAGTGGGTCATTGGATGGAAAGCTCCGCCTTTGGAATATACCTGACAAAAAAGTAGCTTTGTGGAATGAAGTAGATGGTCAAACAAAATTGATCACAGCTGCGAACTTCTGTCAGAATGGCAAATATGCAGTTATTGGGACATACGATGGCAGATGTATATTCTATGATACAGAGGTACCTGATGATTTTATATAATTTGATACTATGGAAAACACTTGTAGTTTTACACAAGTTGATCCTCTCTAGGCTTTAGCTATCCTATCTGTAAAATGGGGCATATAATACCATATCTATCTGAGAACTGAATCTGATGGTTAGAACTAGGGGCTCTATCCTAGTTCTAATGTTTCTCATTTATGAAATTTTTTTTTTAGCATTTGAAATACCATACACAAATACATGTCCGATCTACCAGAGGTCGCAACAGAGTTGGAAGAAAAATTACTGGCATTGAGCCTTTACCTGGAGAAAATAAGGTACAACACTATCAGAACCATCTCTGCATATACTGTATGTAGACTCCTGAAAATTAGTTCTTAATATCTTGGCAAATAATATAATCCCTTCCCTGTGAAATACTGTCTTTTTCTAATTTGAGAGGTATATATGAGTATTTGTTCTTCCTGTTTGTGTAGCTCCTTTTGAGAGGGTTATAGCTCAACTTAGATTTTCAATGATGTTTTAAACTTTTCTTTTGATTTTTTTAGATACTGGTAACTTCAAATGACTCCAGAATCAGACTATATGACCTTAGAGATTTGTCATTGTCCATGAAGTATAAGGGTTATGTCAACAGCAGCAGCCAGATAAAAGCAAGTTTCAGGTATATCCTAAAAAAGGATTAGAACATTTCTCCCTACTTCCCTACTTTTCATTTATTTATCTATACCTTAATTTTGGAAACCCTATGGAGTCCTGGTGTGGTGCTGTGGGTTAATGCGCCAGACTGCAAAGCCATTTGAGCTATAAGGTCGGCAGTTCAGGCTCACCAGCTGCTCCTCGGAAACCCTAACGCTATGGGTCCGAACTGACTCGACAACACTTAACAACAGCTTTATTACAATGGTTGCATTATCTTTGCACTCTGACACCTGGTATCTTATTTTTACCATCACATAACGCTTACCTTATTCACTTATAGATAGAATTAGAATAAGAACTAGAAAATTAAGCAATTTGTTTAGTCACATTGAGTAAGTTAGTTGCAGAGCCAGGATTAGAAGACCCCCAGCTCCAGCTTTCTGCATGTATACTTTTATGTAAGCTGTTTACGAATAATTTATTTTATTTTATAAACTCAAAATGTGTACACGTACACTTTGGTGACTGATTACATGTTTTAATTTGTGTAAACATTTTCATTGTCCTTTTCCCAATTGTTCTTTTAAGAGAAGGCTTATTTCCCCATCTCACACTGTCCTATGACCTTGATACTTTTATGTACAGGAGCCAATAAAGCATTTTTAGCATCCTGAAGTAATTTCCTATATTTCTACTTTTTCAAAAACATAAACAAAACCCATTGCCATGGAGTTGATTCTGACTTACAGTGACCTTATAGGACAGAGGAACTCCTGGAATGGCATTATAGATTAAGCACAGGACTGCTAATCACAAGGTTGGTGGTTCAAACCCACCAGCTGCTCCTTGGAAACCATAAGTCAAAACTGATTTGACCACACTTAGCAACAACAGTAGGGCAGAGGGGAACTGCTCCACAGGGTTTCCTAGGCTATAATCTTTACAGGAGCAGATCCACAGGTTTTTTTCTCTCCCCGAGCCATTGATAGGTTTGAACCCCCAACCTTCTGCTTAGCAACCAAGCTCTTTACTGCTGTACTACCAGGACACCTCTGAAGTAGGGTAGCTCACCCCCTTTTTCCTTCTAACCCTCTTTCCAACTTTATCATTTCTCTTCTTCTTCCTGAACTACCCAGTAATTACTCAGTAATCCAGTTGGTGAAGTACACAGCTTCTCTGTTTCATCCCTTCAGCCAGTATGAGCTAACCAGCATCACAGATACCTAGGGCTTTAATAAAAATACAGATGCTTGGTCCCCATCTTAGACCTCAGCAAAGTCTCTGGAGGAGAAAGACTAGGAGTCTACATGTCCAACAAGTTCTCTTAGGTGGTTTTTAGGTAGGAAGTTCTGATAAAACAAAACCTAAAACACAAAATGTTGATATATATATTTTTTAATTATTCCTTTCTCTCCTGCATTTAGCCATGATTTTACTTACCTCGTTAGTGGTTCAGAAGATAAGTATGTTTATATTTGGAGTACTTACCATGACCTAAGCAAGTTTACTTCAGTCAGGAGAGACCGTAATGACTTTTGGGAAGGTATTAAAGGTAACTACATACCTACTTTGGCATGTCTTATTAGTGAATAAAGTTAAAATGAAGATGTACTGGAAGTAAATTTGTAAAGGCATTATTATTATTATTATTATTTTAAACTTTTATTGTGAATTGAGTGAGTAAAGATTTATAGGGCAGATCATCAGTTTTACATTCAACAAATCATTGCAATGATTACAATCCCCTGCATGTACCATCAGCTAACAGTATTTACCTCTACTACCTTTTTTTTTGATGTACACATTCCATATTGAAAATACATATTTATTTAAATGTCCAAAAGGCACATTTTGCTAGCCAGTCAGCCTCCTGCCCTCAGGCACACTGCGTTTCTCAGTCCTTGGGCCTCTGCCACCATCTCTGTTGTCTACACTTTTCTGGTTAGGATCCCTCACTCCTCTCATGCTCTTCCCTCTTCATGGTCCTCAGGTCCTCTGTTCTGAAATGACAGATTAACTGCTCCACCCTTTTAGATGCACCTCTTCTACATTTACCGTTGTGACTAATTGCCATTAGTCCTGATAAGAATTACTCACAATTGAATCATAAAATCCTATCCCCATCAACACCAGACCCATCGCTTTGACAGTTATAACTGCTTTTACTTTGTGCCTGACTTTACTTGTTTGGTTTTACTATACTAAGGAAAAATAGGCACTTGTGTAGAATTTGAGAAGTCATGGAATCTCAGAACTTTTATGTGGTATTCTTTTGGAAAATATTTTTGGTGGGGTTTTTTGTTTTTGTTTTTTAAATAGTTCTAAGTTATTGCTCTAAGGTATTTGGCATGTAATACATTTATATTTCTTGTCTTGATGTTTACTGTCAAGTCTGTCAGTTACACTGAAAAAAACTTTTCTTCTCAGCACATAATGCAGTCGTTACGTCAGCAATCTTTGCTCCAAACCCAAGTTTGATGTTATCTTTGGATGTGCAGCCTGAAAAAGCTGAAGACAACGATCAAGAGGAAGACCCTGAAGTTTCAGATCCCATGCCCTCCGGTAGGCACTGTGATTTTGTCTTAGATTTTTACTCTGGACATATTATCAGAAGGGACCAGTCCCTGGAGAATGACATGCTGTTTGGTAAAGTGGAGGGTCAGCGAAAAAGAGGAAGACCACCAACGAGATGGATGGGCACAGTGGTGGCAGCAGTGGGCTCAAGCATAACAATGATTGTGAGGATGGCGCAGGACTGGGCAGTGTGTCCTTCTGTTGTGCAGAGGGTCACTGTGAGTCAGAACCAACTCAACTGCAGCTAGTAACATATTTTTTGTAGTCAGCATTTAGTAGTCTCAATCAACGACTACTGGGTATTTTGAGATTTCCATGAATATGAAGAATATTTCTTTTGTACAAGAGAATGGTTGTAGGAAATCGGTTTCTAAACATTTCAGTAAGATATTCTTCTCAAATTGTATTTCTTTTCAATTCACCTGGAAATGAAATATGATCATTTTGAAATTTCCTAGTTCATTGTGGCCAACAGTTCTTTTTGGAGAAATGCAAACAAGACATAGAAATATAAACTTCTTTAATAATCTGTCTCTCCTACTAAACTGCAATCCCCCTGCAGACAGAGGCTTTATATGTCTTATTGACCATTGTATTACAGTGCCCTTGAGAGAGGCTTAAAGCCTCAACAGTTAGATACAGTGTACAAGTAGTATGCTGAAAAGTTCTTAAGTGTGGATATTTAATCTCAAATCATTTCCCAAGTAGTAGCATGTATACTATCCATTTCTTTTCTCAGTGAAGAAAAATTTTGATAAACAGAGGTGAAGTTCAGTTTAGCACTTCTTTTAATTTATCAAATTTAAAAGTACAGCAAATCTGAATTATTAAACCCTTACAAAATGCCTCAGCATCAAACCCAACTTCTCTCTTCTAAGTTAAATAATTTGTTTTTTGTTTTCTTTCCTAGTGATACATTTTACCTGCTGTATATTTTCCCTTACATATTCCATAGGAAATTCTAGTTGTTAGAATTTGTGGCAAATAAAGAACATTGTTGGGATTTTTTGTGTTTTTGTTTTTTAAAATCTAATGAAGCTAAAATTCCGTTATTTCACTGGGTCCTTTTTAAAGAGAGATGACTTTAGGATTGTGTTCAGATTTGTGTTTCCTGTTTTGCACCTAACTAGGTATCTATTAAGGGATTCTGGTGTAGGATAAGCATTGTACTGCCAACTATAAGGTCAGCGGTTCAAACCCAGCTGCTCCTCAGAACACTATGCAGGATGACTTTGACTCAATGGCACTTCACAACAGCAACAGGTGTACTATAGGCAGCCATGATGGTGCACTGGGTAAGCACTTGGCTGCTAACTTAAAAGTTGATGGCTTGAACCCACCAGCAGCTCCATGGGGGAAAGATGTAGCAGTCTAATGAAGATTATAGTCTAACCAACTCTATGGGACAGTCCTCTAGGATAGTTTTGACTTGGAATTGACTCGACAGTGCATAGCAACAATAATAAAAGTCTTAATAATAAACACTTAAACTCAAAGGTATTGTTGTTGCCGTTAAGAGCCATCGAGTTAGTTCCAACTCATAGTGACCCTGTATAGGGTTTCCAAAGAGCGGCTGGTGAGTTTGAACTGCCAGCCTTGGGGTTAGCAATCCAGTGCTTATCCTAAAGTGCCCCCCAAATATATTTTATTGTCCAGTCTCTGTATTCTTGACTTATTTAGCAATTTGAGCTTGTTTTCCTCATATGTACAGTGGTGGTAATACGTAGTTTCACAGGGTTATGGTAGGAATTAGCTAACATACATGTTGTCTTCATTTGAATTTTCTCCTATAAAGCATCTCTCTCATGTATATGCTGTATTGATTGTTTTCTTCTCACCCTCAATCTTGTGCTGCTGCGGCTACTTGTGCAGCATTACTTTGTGATATGTTGAAAAGTGGTAAGGTGTATTCAAAGGCTTAGGGTATGTTTTTAGCAAATTTAAGTGAAACCATTTTGCCTAGCTCACCCTGTACACACAATCGAATTTAACGTTTGTGCTATTGTCATCCTTGTTAATCATTCCTTAAATCTACAGTTTTGCCTACCTGTGATAGAAGTAGTTAACACTAAGCTTGTTTTGCGAAATGTTTTTTACTCTTCAGCATAGCTGCCTAGCCCCTTTTCAATACAAACTGGAAAATCAAAAGGTGCTGTCAGAATTAACAAAACAAACGCATCTACTTCATTTCATGGCAGTTTCAAGATGTCTGCTTTAGACTAAACCTTACAATCTGCCTCATAAGAGACCCCTCTTGCCCAACTGATCGTACTCTGCCAGTGTTCTAGACCTCGATGCTAAATAACATACTAGCCAGTTGCCATGAAATGAAGCATTAGGTGACTTTTAGACCTGGACTACCTGGAACCAGGTATCTTGGCCCCAGGGACACAGAGTAAGGCACTGGACCGCAAGGTCAGTTTGAACCACAAGATCAGCAGTTCAAACTTACCAGCCATTCCTTGGAAACGCAATACAAGGTTGCTATGATTCGGAATCGACTCAACAGCACTTAACAACAACAATAACAACCTATATATCTCAAGCCAGAGAAACACCAGCTATGACAGGTAAATGGAAATGAGCCTCAGAAAGGAAGGGCGGTATAATAGGATAACAGTACAGAAATAAGCCCTTCAAAGAGAGAGAGAAAAAAAGTAGGGAGAGAATCTTTCCCCTGAAGGTGGAGGGTCTTGGGCATGTGACAATTGTAGTTGCAGACTTCATGTTCCCTATAATAGCAACTAAAAAAAATTTTTTTTTTTGTGCTTTGAAGGTATTATGAAGACAGATAACACCGAAGTTCTTCTCTCTGCTGACTTCACTGGAGCAATCAAAGTGTTTATTAATAAAAGGAAAAATGTATCTTAATTTGAAATCACATTTAAGATAAACATATCAGTAAGTTTCTATATGTATCAGAACAGAAAAAATATTATAGTGCTTTGGGCTGACATCCTTTTTTAATTTTTATTGAAAGTTCAAATATAATATATTTTTTGAGCGGTAGTGTTGATGCTCTAGTAAACCCTGGACTTTGAGACTAGAAAGGAATGTGGCTAGAATAATGTTGCTAAACATTAAGCTTTATGTTTTGTTCTGTTTGTATTTTTGTTATATAATTGTGAACATGCACAGTTTTCTGCATGAAAATATATTAATATATGAATCATATGTGTGTGCCTTTTGGTTACATGCTCTAAATCTAACAGAGTTAGTTACATTATTTCCATGCCTCTTTTGGCTTCTTACTAGGGGGAAGTCTTGTTTCTAGCTTAAAAAATTTGTTTTGCACAAAATTTCATTTTTAAGAAAAGTGATATCTTTTGACTAAGTTACTGTTTTGAAAATGTTTTATAGGTTTTCACTAGGTCAATAACCATGTGTAAATTGTTTTTATAAATTTCTCAATTTGGGGCTAAGTTTTTTTTTTGTGTGGTCTAAATTGTGGACTTAAGATTCTTTTCTTTGTGTGTGTGTGTGTGTGTGTGTGTGTATATATATATATATAATTATATATATATATATATATAATTTTTTTTTTCTTTTGCCACACTGGAGCACAATGTTTCTATGTAAAGAATTCTTTTCATTCTTTATTCATGAGCACCAGGCTTTGCTCACTTTAAAAAAATTAAGCCACATTAAGGAGTGAGTCTTCTTTTTTACAATAATGTAAAAAATGAACTGTTTACATTTTTTTAAAGCATTGTAGTTTTAAAACTTATGCTGTTTTGTTTTGAGTTGTTGAATTTGAAAGCCTTTGTAAATATTGATATAATGTACCAATGAAATAACATCTGGGTCAATGGAACCCTGACAATGTTGTTGACGGTTGGCATATGTTTCTGAAAATTAAATATGTGTTATTAAAAGTTGGTCACCAATACTTGTTAAACCTGTGGCTTTATTTTCAGATGACTTCTGTATATTGAAGAAGGCAAGAAAGCTGAACTCTTGTTTTAGTCATTTTCATTTTAGTAAATGGGAGATCAGATTTTGGAACAGTACATTAAAGTGCAATGGCCACATGCTTTTTTTTTTTTGGTAACGTTTTATTGTGACTTGGGTGAAGATTGACAGAGCAGATCAGTTTTCCTTGAAAGAGCTCATACACAACGTATTTCCTCTCATTGACTGCACTTCCTCCTTGTGTTTCCTGTTTCCATCCTTCCTTCGTAACCTTTTTGAACTATGTCCATGGGTAAATGCTGCCCTTTTGATCTCAAATGGTTGATTATTCTAAGGTGTGCATACTTCCTTAGTATTGTTGTTCGCCTTGTAGACCTGTTTGTTGTTTGGCTAAAAATTGAGCCATCGTGGTGAGTTCATTTCCAGACATGAAGGGTGACTAAGGCACATAGTTTGGGGGTTCCACCAGTCTTTCTCAGACCAGTAAACCTGATCTTTTTTTATAATTTCGAGTTTTGTTCCACATTTTTTCACTACTCCTCTCTCAAGGACAATAACCCTGGTAGTGCTGTAGAATAAGTATTGGACTGCTCACTGCAAAGTCAGTGGTTCAAACCCACTAGGCACTCTACTGGAGAAAGATGAGGCTTTCTGCTCCCATAAAGATTTACATCCTCAGAAACCCTATACAGGGTCAGTATGAGTCAGAATTGACTCAGTGGCAATGAGTTTGATTTTGAGTCTTTTCAGAGCAGTTGGTATTAGTAACCACGCACCATCGAGTTCTTCAGGTGTCAGGGTCATGGAGACTGATGTTCATGTGGTTCATTAGTCCATTAGACGAATTGTTTCCAAGTTACGTGCCTTTAATTTTTAAAAAATGTCTTGTTGTTGAGCACATACACAGGAAAACATAGACCAAGTTAACAGTTTCCCCAGGAATAATCCATTGATGTTGACTATATTCTTTTGAGTTGTACTACCATACTCACCCTCCTTCTCTGAGTTTTTCCTCCCCAACTAATATAAACTCACTGCCCCTAAGTTTCCAATCTAATCTTTTGAATTTGCTACTGTGGTTTGATCCCATAGAGAGAGATCTTGAAAAACCACGACATTCAAGGCAGACATTCTTTACTAGTCAAGGTAAACTACAGTTTGTTTTTCAGAAGACATCAGAAGATGCTTTTGGTTTATGGTTTAAAGATAATCTCAGGTCATCAAGTTCAGCCTTTCTTAAATGATTCTTTCTGGAATGAACACTGCTTAGTATTAGTGTATAAATTCATATGTTGCTTACTGCGTTTATTTTCACTATATGAATTAGCAGCTAGGGAGCTTCAATTTTATTCTTGTTAATCCAGCTTGGAGTTGGAGTGTTCTCAATTTTCTAGGTAATCGCATGCTTGCCTTGATTTCGCCCCCATGCTTTTTTCAATTTGCCGGGGGTTTGTGCACTTTTCCTTCCCTCTCCTTTCTCCCTCACTTCACCCCTCTCCTCACTGGCTCATTTCTTCTCTTCCTCTCTCCCATATTGTCTTTACCCCTCTCTCTTCCCCACCCCTCCCCCATATTTTAGTTTTCTCTTTCTTCTGTGCTCTCCCTGACAGATTAAAGTGTCCTGCCATTGGCTTACTAACCAGTCACAAAGTATCTTTAGTCTCAAGGTCTGATAGAAGAGTATTTGTTCACGCGTTTGATCTATATGTCTTCGATTCTTTGAGGCAGCTTGCCTCTCATTGACTATGTTGTGGTCCTGCTTGTCCTAATGGCAGATAATCAGGGTGTTACCATATGAATCTTTCTTGATAGGTTCATTGTAGTTATTTGAACAAAAAGGAGAGAGTTGGGAACCAAGTTCAAGAGAATAATAGTGACTGGCACTTCAAAGTTTTTGTGTATTTTATTATTTTTTTTTAATGTTATCACTATCTATATAAATATCTCCAGAGTTAGTGTTAGAAACTCTTTATAGTACGTGATGTGGCATTGAAGGGTACAGATTCCGGAGACAGAAATTTGAATTGGGTTCCTGTCTTAGTATAATCCTTGCACAAGGTTTGTTTTGTTTTAAATCGTCTATCAGTCTCCAGTTTCTTCTCTGTAAAATGAGAATGGTGTTGCTGTTATACCTAACTCCAATTGTAAAAATGCATTGAGAAAACATGTATGTGTGAAGCTTGGTGCCTAGCTATTAGGTGTACTCAACAAAAGTCAGTTTCTCAGTACCTCTCCCCCAGTTCCCTGAATGTTCTCCCACCCAAACAAAAAATACAGGATATAGAAGTGGGTTTTAGACATAGGGACTTCAGGGATGATCATTTGGGGAATTAACGTAGGGCACCAATCTATTTTCCCCAGCTCAAAACATTAAAAAAAAAAAAGGTAACATCTACTATCTATCTCCTCATCATAAAAAGAGTTGTTAAATGCCATTGAGACAGTTCTGACTCATCGTGATCCTGTGAGTCGAGCACAATCTTCTCGTCTTAGTGCAATGAGCAGTCTACGACAGTGTGTAAACTTCGTTTTATAAGAGCAACTACATTCCCTTTTTTTTTTTTTCTGTTTTTGGTTTTATTTGGGGCGGGGGTGAAATATTCATCATGGACTTGGCTGTGACAGGCAGGGACACTGTACTAGATGAACAAGTTAAAATCATAAATCATTAAAAGCTCTTTGAAGAGTCATATTGAGCCTTTTCCTCTCTGTCTCATTTACCTTAATTTTAATTGGAATTAAAATCTTAATGACAACATCATTTTACATGCCAGTCTCTCTGGCCTTTCAATTACACCACTGGGCAGTTGTTAATTTCAATTCTTGGGAACTTTAATCCTTGGGAATTTTTGAACATTAATCCATCTATATCTCCTAGCAGTTTCAGTTGTATAGCTTTAAGAATCAGAGGCCAGATCTGACTGTGGATGTGGTAAACTGAGTTATTGGACTATTCCCAATTAAAACTGATAATGAGGACTAAAGATAGAAGTATGTTTGGAATTTAGTGATTCCCTATAAGTTTTCAAAAGAAAACATTCCCAGTTTCCCTGGTTTCTAGTTTCCTGTCTTACTTATCCATTAAACAGATATTTGTTGAACACCTACTATATACAGAGCACTGCTGGGACAATTGAAGACTAAGGGAACACTCCCATGCTGGAAGAGCTCACAGTCTGCTGGAGAAGATGGCCATAGGAACAAGTAAGAGGCTTGGAATTGTCATGTGGCTGCGGCATTAGAAATACCCTCCTTCTCTCCCAATCCCCTGTCTGTTCTACCTTTCCTAGTGACTAATAGCAGCTACTTGATTCTCACACCATCCTTCATTAATGCAGTATTACCAGCAGCAAGGATGATATTGCTAAAAGAGTTTACAAGGCAACCATCAGTTGGACAGAGAAAATGGATGCATTTTTCTTGGTGTCTAACCCTCTCCCAGCCTAGAATCTTTGTTTTTCTAAAAACTTTTAACTGTCTTCTGTTTTCAAGCTAACTCCTTGGTTAACAGACCTTCTCTCTCCACAACTGCTCATGTGTTCCCTTCCATTCTAAAGCAACAAAGCAATAGAGAAAGGAGAATCAGGAAGAGGATGTTGAATGCATGACTAATTGCCTCTGTGAATAACTGCCTCCTTTGCCATGAAATCAAAAGTACTGGATGGTGCCCAGCTACCATTAATAAATGTTTTGATCAAAAATCCCAGAGAAGAATCCTAATCAAAATGGGGAATATGCAAAATAGAATTTCAAAATCTCATAGATTCTATACTTCCTGCAGCAATGGGGGTTAGATGAACCTTTGAAACTATGCCTGAGATAATCTTTATACCATAAACCAAAAATAATCTTCATAAGGAGCTCTGGTTGCGTAGTAGTTACGAATCGGGCTGCTAACCTCAGGGTCAATAGTTCGAAACTACCAGCTGTTCCGTGGGAGAAAGATGAGGATTTCTGCTCCTCTTGTAAAGATTAACAGCCTCGGAAACTCTGTACAGGGTCGCTATGAGTCGGAATCGACTCCACAGCACGTAACAACAACAGTATTTTCTTAGAACCAAATAGTTGTTGAGCTTAACCAATTTTTTAAAAGTCTGCTTTGAACATTACACTCTTTTAAGGTCTTTATGGAATCAAACTGACAACAGCGAACTCAGATGGACCCAGTGAGTTCATGTTAATCGGAGAGGAACAACTCAGAATAGGAGATTGAGAATGGTTCCACAACTCAAAGAATGTTAATAGGTGTCACTGAATTGTACATGTAGAGACTGTTGGATTGGTCTATGTTCTCAAAAACAACTTCCAAGCCAGTGCCAGACTTTATGTGGATTTCACCAATTTTTCCACAAGTTTCTCAGTTCC